TTTGAGAAATTTTGGCTACTCACAATAAATAGTTGTATGTTTATTGTGAAAGTGACTTATGTCCATTAAAAAAAGAAAAAATTGTTAGAATATAATTCTTATTCAACAATTTATACTGAATTTCCCATATCATCATTTTCCCCCATTCAATTAAATGACGACCGAGTCAAATGACTTGAGACAAATGACTCAAAGCTACCCTGCCTCTTTGTTTACAATTTCCTGGCACTGTAAACGGGGCTCGGTTAGCTCCAGCTCCACAGGTGTTCAGGAATTCGGTATATAATATTTCACGCACGTGTGTACGCACCTGTACACTTTCGTCAGGCTACACACCGAATGCACGTTACGATGCTACGTGCAAATCGCGTGCTTTCGATAAAGCACTTCGAGTTTTCACACTAGGCCGAATCACGTGACTTGGTCTATGGTGGAAGTTTTAAGAATGGCTTATGGTGTACGTCTTTGTTGACCATGGAACTACCGTGCAAGTTGACATGATTGATTTCGGTTTAATTATGAAGTAATTAGCAATAGATTGAAAGTGGAAATTGGAAATAATTTTTAAAATACATAAACAATGTGTAAAGAAATTGGAAATAATCTGTTCTGGTTTTTAAGGTGACTACACATCAGTCACATTGCTTTATAATTATTAATACCTTAAAATCACTGAATATTTGAAATAATTTTGAAAATAAATAGTTTTTACTTGAATATTGTAAACAATATATGAAGAAATTGGAAATAATCTATTCTTCTAATTTTTATAAATCAAATGACTGATCAAAATGACTGATTTCAATTTTCTTACTTCAATTTAATATGTTAAAATCATTGAATATTTAAAACAATTTTGAAAATAAATAATTCCACTTGAATACTATAAGTAATTATACAAATAAACTGGAAATAATCCATTCTTCTACTTTTAAGGGGACTACACATCAGTCACACTACTTCACAATTACTAAACCAAATGACTGATCTCAATTTTCTTCAACGTAATATTTCATAATCACTGAATATTTAAAATAATTTTGAAAATTCTTATAATTTTAAGGGGACTACACACCAGTCACACTACCTCACAATGACTAAACCAAATGAGTGGTCAAAATGACTGATTTCAATTTTCGTCAAAATAATATTCCAAAATCACTGAATATTTAAAATAATTTTCAAAATAAATAATTCCAATTAAATACTATAATTAATTATACAAATGAACTGGAAATAATCCATTCTTCTAATTTTAAGGGGACTACACATCAGTCACACTACTTCATAATTACTAATACCAAATGACTGGTCAAAATGACTGATCTCAATTTTCTTCAATATAAAATTCCAAAATCACTGAATATTTAATTTAATTTTGAAAATAAATAGTTTCACTTTACTATAACAATCACCATAAAAAACCGAAAACAATCTATCCCCAATTTCCATAAAAACACACCATTCAATTTCAAATTTCCAATCCCAAAAATCACTGAACCAAAACTCAATTCTCAAAATTCACGTACTACGACCACGCACAAAGCAACCGAAAATCCGTTCCCCGATTCCCACGAAAATTCCACGCCATCCGAATTACAGCCACGGTAGTTCCACTGTCAAAATCCGATTCCGGGTCGAGCGTAGGATCTCGTGTATTTTCAGTGAAAACTCACCGGGACGATCGAGACGATCCTGAACGGCGATCGAGAATCCAGTCGGCGGATCGAGGGCCGGCGTCCCGCCGTGCCGACGCACTTAACAGTCCGAAACACTTCCAACGTCCGCTGAGTGGTACTCCGGTGGAAATTCACGGGGCAGTCTCATAATCACGATCGCGGTGCATCCGAGAGCCGGCCGGGACATTAAACGTTTTCTTTCTGAACGGGAACGGACACGGTGGCGCGCCGAGCGACGCTTCGATGCGAAACTACCGTGGCAACGGATGCTTCGCTACTGTGTGACGGTGCGCTGGCGGTCATTGTGTGCCCGCTCGTCTCCTCGGCCGACGTGCGCAGTGGAGGGGCGGACGCGGACAGATGGCCGTGGCGGCGGTTACCGGCGAGGACCGAGCCGCGCCGAGAGTGATTCATACCTGCCTCGTGAGATGGTGCGTCGGTTAACTGCGCGCTGGGCTAGCGTTGTTTGAATGGAGGAATTGGGGCTTTTGTGGCTGTGGGCTGTTGTACCGACGATGTGAACTTAGGAGTGGAGAATTGTTATTTATACGTTTATATATTTATTCGTTAATTATTTACATATTCATTTGTTCATTATTTATTTATATATTCATTTGTTTATTATTTATATATTTATTTTCATATTCATTTGTTCATTATTTATGTTTATTTGTTAACTATTTATTTACGTATTCATTTGTTAATTATTTATTTATTCACATATTCATCTGTAGATTATTTATTTATTTGTCAATTAATTGTTAATAAATGATTCAAGAACGTTGATTAAATAGTGAAAATTTGAAGTGTCGATGTGGGGGAATTGTTAGTTTGTTGTTTTCTATGTCATTGTTCAGTTTGTAAGTCTTCATAGTATATTGAAATTATAGAAAATTGTTAAAAGTAATAAAAATTATTTAAACTGTAGTAATATACAACAGTTTATGTCATTCCCCATGTCGCTATTCAATTTGTTCGTCTTCATAATATATTAAAATTGTAGAAAATTGTTAAAAATAGTGGAAATTATTTAAATTGTGGATATATAGGGGAACTATTAGTTTATATTGTTCCCTATGTCACTATTCAATGTGTAAGTCGTCATAATATATTAAAATTGTACGTAGATCCTTGGTATTATATGTCCGTAATAGAAATTGAGTATATAAATGTTAATAACGATTGACATGATGGTACAATGTTGTGAATAATTGTATTAAAATATAAATAAATAAACAAAATAGTAGGATGAACTTGTGGATCGCAGAAAACTATTTGGAATGTTATTATACTTACATAAACATTAATGTTGTACCAAATATACAATAACCTGTAATTTTATTAACACTAGAGCTACCGAGCAGTCAAGTTGACTTTACGAAATTCTACAGAAACCAAGAGTGCATCTATCGAGACTTTGATCACTCAGAACTTAGTTTGCATATTACTAAAACAATTTCTTTTGAAATTTCTTAAAGAATATATTGTTTTTTCAATAATTGTAACAGAAGAATCTAGGAATGTGTCATTTGACTCGTCCGGTAGTTCCAGTGTTAAGTTTCGTAACCATTTGTTTTGTAAAAATACCTATATTTCTATATATTTACAATTATATGATTATAGTTCTTAGTCACTTCGCACTTACTTCACGCTACACTTTGGTTCAAGATTAATGTTACATATACTTAAATTTTAACCCCATTGGTTGAACGTCGAGGTATTCGCTAAGCTCTCTGGAGTGATTGGCCACAAAGACGGTGGCAACATCGAGTAGTCGTGTACTTCTAGAGGCTTAAACCACGTAGGGTAACTGGGTTCTTCCAAACTGCTCGAACTCTCCGCATTTTCAAAGTATTCTTTAATAATATCGTCAGGATCGGGCCAACCGCTTTCAGGCGTTACATGTAATTTCGACGCGTTCCTCATATTCACTGCAAATATTGTTTCATAAACACTCTGGGAAACTGTTTCACGTACAAATAGAAAAGATTATTACCATACTGTTGCAGTTCCCATAACATCTGTGGCGTATAATGTGAAAACCTGCATCCGAGACCAAACGCACAGTCGCCAACCGTTAAGTAACGCTTGCAGGGCGTCTTACCTCGCTCTTCTTGCAATATCACTTCTGGGTCTAAAACATCAATGAAATCATCTCCGCAACTGGATTACAACCACCAAAATGAACTCAGTTATCATTCTTAGGTTATGTTCACACCAAACCTTGAATTCTCAGGAAATATTCTAAAATTCATATGAATAAATAGTCACCTTTGTACATATTGTAGTGGTCTGCACGATTTTTCGCATGCTGCAAACTGGAAAGATGTCTTTTCCTAGCCTCCGGGTCATCCTTAAATGATCTGTCACAGTAAGCACAATAATATCTCTTCCCCATAACTGGATAACTTTTAACTATCACCAAACAGCAAACATATTTTAAATGTACCAAATCAAGAACCTACTATAAATTATAAAACAATAGTGACAGTTACAGCAGAAACCGGTTTCTAACCAAAAAACGTCAAAGTCAACGACGTGACATCTAGCGTTTCACGAAGTGAAATGATTGAAATTACAAATAATTCATCTATTTTTCACGAATCAAAACAATTCGCTTTCTCATTGTTTATTATATTTAATAACAATTATTATACTCGTTCGTTGTATTTAATAATTATTATTATACTTGTTCGTTGTATTTAATAATAATGATAATACTGATTCATTATATTCAATAATAATGATTACACTAATTATTCGTTATACTCAATAATAACGATTCCACCGATTACTCAATACATTCAACACTAATTACCACGTTAATCAGATTCAATCAAAGGTAAACACCGTTCAGAGGAAAAAGTCTCGTACACTTTAATGGGTATTTATTTTAAACAAACAGATAACATACATGGTACTGCTCGTTTAAACATTACAATTGTTTGTTACATCCTTAAAATATAATTTACCGCAACACGTTTTGTGCGTCACTAGTCTAGAATCTGTGTGTGTGTGGTTGGTTAAATCGTCCGCGTACCGAAGAAAATGCCTAGAATCTCTCTCTCTCCCTCTCTCGCTCTCTCTCTCTCTCTCTCTCTCTCTCTCGCGACGATCCTCCTCGAGTAA